TCTCTTTTGGGTATTTAATTTATGATTTATAATGTTTTATATTACCAATATTAGGACTTTTTGTTTATTGACAATTATATAAATATATAAATGTAATCATGTCTTTCAAACTATTTCTATTTTTGGTACACTTTGGATGACTGTAATTTTAATATTTGATTTACTTTGAATTGATTAAAATGGCATGCTTATGAGGCCAAATCATTGGCTTGTTTTGAAATTTGACTAAATTATTTATTTTACTTGTTGGGAATATAGGGATGGATAAATGTGATTTAGTTTACTTGTTGGGAGTATAAGGATGGACAAATGTAATTTAACCTAAGGGCATGGGGGAGGTAAAAATTTAACTGAAATGTTGTATTGTGTGAGTTGAAGCCAATTATAAAATATTTTTATATTAAAATTATTGATATAAAATGTGTTGAGTGGCTGTAACCTAACTATGGTTGAGTTAAATTATAAAAAAATTGGTGTGTTACAAATGTCAGTTAAATTCTTGACAAATTTTTTTATAAAATGAATTATAAATATAATTTAATAATTATAATAAAAATTAATTTTTAAATTTAAAAATTATATATTAATATCTAAATATTTATCTATAATTAAAATTATTAAATTTATAATAATTTAGATTGATATTTTTAACTTACATTAAAAAAATATCAGGATCTCAACCGATATTAACTCAATTCATTATTTTACCAACTATCACTCTCTCAGTTGGTATTATCGGGCACGGGCAGTTCCATTATCCCAGGATTGTAACTGCAAATCCTTGTTTTCGGGACACGTCGTACACTCATGCCACCACGTGTGTGAACTGTGAAGCTTGCAGTGGACATTGACATCTTTCTGGACAACAATAAGAGGTTTTTAACGCATTGGGCAATCACAACATGGGCTTTTATGGCCCAGCAGAACGTTCCACCGTGATGACGGCAAGGTTCTACGCCCTTCTTGAATTTGTACGTGTTAAGTATTTTTATTTCAATAAAAACTCAAGTGCTAGCTAAAAACGTTTGCTTGGTATTTGTCTTTTCATTGAAGATGAATTGCTATTATTTATCCACCACGAGGTTTTCTTTCTTCCTAATTCTCTTTCAGTCATCTTTCTATCGATTTTCTCTTCTTTTCTCTCCGTCCTGCATCAATTTTTTTGTTTTTAGTATTTTTAAAAACAAAAAATATGAACAATTTTAAAATTATTTAAATTCAAAACACTTATCTGAACATTTTTTTTCAATTAACAAAAGATAAAAATAAAAAATAAAAAAAGATACTAGAGTCATATAAATATTAATAATGAAAATGTGAAGAGGATGATATATTTAAAGTGATTAAAATTTTAAATAAATAAGGTATAGAATAAATTTAAAATTACAAATCAAACATAACAAGAAATAAATTTGAATTTAAATCAAATATAAATTCATAATTTTTTTTTCATATTAAAATAAAAAATTTGATCCAATATAAATTTAAATCTAAATTTTCATCCATCCAAACGCATGAATACATTACAAAAGAGCGCAGTACATGGATGCAATAGATTCTGATCAATTCAGAATAGCCCCCGTTAATCTAATAGCAACAATTATTAGTTATTAAATTACTAATAACCGAACCCACATAATACTTTTTTTTTTTTTTTTAAGTTTACGGGCATTTGTGCAGATGGATGGTGCCTTCCTCTTCATGAAGAACAAGACAAGTTGTAGATGTCCCTTGGTGACTCAGACCCCATCTCTGTTTTTATTTTTCTCCAACTTACTCTCTGGTCTTCATAAAGAGTTGCTTATCCTCATCGCCGTCTTCTTCTTCCCCCATACCTTCCAATTATTAGTTTGTCTATCTATAATTATATCCTTTCCCTCCATTTCACTCATTCATTCAATAATCACTCCCTCTTATTTGACCCATCTTATCCCCATGCCTCCAGCGGCCACTTCCTCCATGTCCTCATCGGAACCTCCCAAGCTTCACGCCTCCGACATCGGCAGTATTAAATCCTTCGCCGATTCCAATGGACTCTCTCCCATCCCTTCCTCCTACTACTCTATCGTTGAACCCCGAGACGACGTTGCCGACGAGCTCGCTTCTTCCATCCCCGTCATCGATTTCTTACTCCTTACTTCCGACGACCCCCTGCTCCACGCCGACGCCGTCACCCAACTCGGCAAGGCCTGCGCCGAATGGGGCTTTTTCATGGTAAACTCCTAAAATTCCAATGCACCCCTGTTTTCTAAGCATGGCGCTTTCGGTTTTGTTTCAGGTATAATTAACAATGTGGGAATTGTGGCAGCTCACGAATCATGGGATTTCGGAGAAGCTGATGGCGGAGGTGATGAACAAGGCTCACGAATTCCATAACTTGCCGGTCGAGGAAAAGAAGGAATTCGCCGATAGGGGTCCCTTTTCCCCCATACGACATGGCACCAGCTTCCACCCTCAAGTAGAGAAGGTTCATTACTGGAGAGATTACCTCAAGGTCATCACGCTTCCAGAATTCAATTTCCCCAACAAACCCCCCGGTTTCAAGTAAGTTCATCGTCTCTTTGTTTTCTCTGCTTCTCGGATTGGCCTTCGTATAATCCATCCTGTTTCTACAGGGAGGTTGCTTATGATTATAGCGGGAAGATCCGGGCGATAGCGAGGACTTTGCTGCAAGGGATATCGGAGAGCTTGGAATTAGAGCCCGAGGCCCTCGTGGAGTCCACTGGTTTCGACTCTGGTTTGCAGATCTTCGCCGTCAACCTCTACCCTCCTTGCCCTGAGCCAGACCTTGCCCTGGGCATGCCTCCTCACTCCGATCACGGCCTCCTCACCCTTCTCTACCAGAACGGAATCGGAGGCCTCCAGGTCAAGCACGACGGCAGGTGGGTCAACGTGGATCCTCTTCCCAGCTGCCTCATCGTCAACACTGGAGATCAACTCGAGGTCATTCCCATTCCTCATGTCCTAAATGTCTACACACACAAGGCACACTTTTCTGTATATAGATTCACTTCATGTATGGGCAAACATTGATTCTTGATGGATTAGGCGGTGAGCAATGGGAGGTACAAGAGCATCTTGCACCGTGCAGTGTTGAACAACAAGGACACAAGGATAAGTCTGGTGCTGGTGAATGGACCAGACTTGGAGAAGGAGATAGGTCCGGCGACGGGGCTGGTGCAGAAAGAGGAGCCATTGTTCAAGAACATCAAGTACAGGGACTACTTCCAGGTTCAGCAGCGGACCAGGTTCGCGGACAAAAGTGGATTAGATGAGATTCGGATTAATCCTAAAAACTGACATCAATACTTTATCATCACTGCTTATTAATCGTTCATATGTGTTGTCGTGGCAGCAAACCGACGTGGGTGTTGGGTGTAGACATGAGTAGAGTTTGTGTGCGTTTTGTGTGAGGGGATGTGAGCGGCTTGTAGTGTTTGTGTGGATCGCTTCTGTTTACTCTGGTTGAAGTGCTCAATAACGCAGGATTTCCAAATCCACAACGTGGCTGGCAGATTACGATAAAATATTTTTTTTAAAAAAAAGTTGCAGCAACATATATATTTATTTAGTTATTATTTTTAGAATTTCATGTAAAATATCCATCCAATCCACCTAATTTAAGATACTTAAAGGCCTTGGCCCAAAACAGAAAAAGGACACTTAAAAGCCTCATGACTTGTAATGACCTATATCGTGCTCGCAAATTGAATGGGTTTCATAGACTCGTGGAAACCTGCCACCTGATTTTAGCCCAACGTTCACTTTAAGATTAGGGAGCATCACGCCGACGTAAAATGAGAGGGCGTCCAATATGCTTGAAGACAATTAACCTAAAATAGTTCAAAATCCAAAAGATGATGCCTGTCAATGTTGTATATAGGTTGTTATTACTTCTGGAGTAGCAGATTATGCTTAGTTTTTTTTTTTTTTTTAAATAACAGAGAAAAAGAAAGGCCAGAACACAAATAAGCCTACGGAGGTCTCAGTCTCTCAGATACTCTAAAAGGAGAGGCACAGATATATCCCATTGGTTTCTCCTTCTCCAAATAGGCCAGCAAAGCATGAGGTTCTTCTCACACCAATCCCAAATTATATGCCATCAGGATAAAAGAGAATGACTTTGATTCCTAGGATTGAAAGCCCAAATCTATTGATATACCATTAAAGAAAAACTAAGTTTCATAATATGGATGGTAGAGAGCTGGACGTACGGGCGAAGATGTCGGGTAGGAGATTTAATACTATAATGTTGAGAATATTGACATCAGATATTTTATATATATATATATATATATATTCTATATAAAGTGTAACAAATAAATTATATTGCTTTGCAATCTAGTGGCTTGCTGGTTACTGTTAGTGAACTATGCTCTAACCCGCAAGGGTGTCTGGTGGAAATAGGCAGGGGACAGAGAGAATGTGAGAGAAGCAGAGAAGTCATCATTGTTCATCGTGTTCAAATTAAAGCGTTTTTTGTTGGATTCAGATTACGAAGTAACACCAAAAACAATATAAGACCATCCATTTTCATTCCCTGGCAACACACACAGATAATCACCTTTCGAGAAAACCACAATTCTGTTTATCCAAAAAAAATGCACAATTCTACACACGCACGGTATTTTCAATATTATATATGCAATCGATCGATCGCCATTTGCTAAAGGCCCAAAGCTATGACCCTTCTTCACGACGCCAAACTCTGCTTTTCCAAAAAAAACTTGCACATGAGCGTTTTAGCCATGACGTGCATCCAGTCACGTAAGAGTGAGATAGAATTCATTCCTTCGGTTACAATTCGATCAAACCATAAAATATAGATAGAAGGAATTGATGCTTATGGAACTCAATTTTCGACTTCAAACGACTCATAATATTCCTCGACATTCATCATTTCCCCGAACAAATTTCTATATAATTGACCGAGAATATTTCAAACTTGTTGTACCACATTGACCGATCAAACAAAGACAATTTGCAGAGAAGATCCGGAAATGGCACCTGAGTCTCACATTTTCTACCTTTCAGGACATGTTTATCTCAAATCCGTTGACTGGTATGTTCATGATGATCTCCAAATTAATCTCTTGTCACGTAAAACTCAAACTAATGGCGATAACAATTTAAGGGTTTATTTGAAATTTTTTTATTTTTTATTTTAAAAATTGATGTTTTATAGTTTGGATAATAAAAAGAATAAAAATAAATATTTTTTTATTCTCTCTTGTTTTTCAGAATATTTAAAAGATGTTTTTGTTGTTCTATTTTTTAAATATATATATTTTTTTTTTGTTTCTCAAAACATTTTTTAAAAATAAGTTATCAAATGGATTTAAAAATAAATAAAAAACTATTCTCATAAGAGTTGGCCAACATGCTCTAAGGCGCCATATTTATTGGTTCTCATGCATTCATTAAAGCAGGAATAACGCAAACCACAGAAGGTGCGTCCTGGCAAAGCTTGGTACGAGGAGCATATGTTCTCGAAATGAACAGGGCCGGACCCAATTCCCTGGCCTTACCCTGTTGAGACTCCTTCCACTTTCGGCTCATCGAGATCCTCCACGACAGCTCCAACCACTCCGTCAGCGGGGCCGTCCTCAACTCATTAACTCCAAATTCGGCAACCCCAAATACGTCATCGCCTTCCGAGGAATGATACTAACTCGCCCCACTCTCCCTACAGACGTCTTCTTAAGCGTCCGGTCCTACTTTGGCATCCTCCACAACAGCCCCCGGCTCCACCTCGCCGTCGATAGAGTTCAACACTGGGTAGCGCCTCCGGCGGTGCTCCTAACGTCTGGGTCACCGGTCACTCCTTAGGCTCAGCAATAGCCTTGCTCGCGGCCAAGGACATGGCTAAGTCGGGTTGTCATCTACCTACCTACCCACCTCTTCTACCCTCCCCTCTCTTCTGCTATGTTGGAGAGGATTAACAAGCCAAAACTGAGGCAAGGAATTCACATTGCTTCTAGTGTGGTGAAAGCAGGAGTCTCTGTTTATTTACAGCGCGCCACCAGAATCGCGAGAGTAATAAGAAGGAAGATGAATTTTGTGCGTTGTCTGATTGGGTATGCCTTGTTTGTTCGTGAATCCAGGGGATCCTGTTTGTTTCTGGTTATGTTGGGTATTTTGAGCAGAGGATCAAGATGATCGAGCTCGGGGCTGCATACTTGAGGATCTGGCTACAAAGCTTACTCTTAAGAGCTTGATCATGTCAAATGTGATGGACATAGGATCGGAGCCTCGCCATCTTCTTTCCCTCTGCTGAGTTGATCCTTAATCAGACTCGGTCATCGTGTTTCACTGTGGCTCATGGGATTAAACAATGGTGGGACCCCCGTCTTCCTTCTCACCCTGCAATATACCGTTTAATTTCAAGTAATAAAAACTTGACAAATTTTCAGGTGAAGTAGTGACAAAAGAAATGGAGGAAGAATGATAGTGAGCTTACTTTTTCATCCCAATTTTTATCCTCACTGCACTTAAAATGATTTAAAAAGACGGTCTATAAAGGTATCAATAAGACAGGATGGGGATGGTCCTTCGTCCAACAATTATATAACGACTTAAGGTTAATGTGAAAACGATGCGCGTGTAGGTCATGGGATGGCCTAGAATAAATAATCACTAAATAGTGGTGCAAATCAAGGGGTACAGTAGCTGTGGAGATTGGAGAATGATAGAATTGCAAGGTTTAGCGCATATATATATATATATATATACATGGTCGGCTTCATCTTAGAAACTATCAAAACCATGGTTTTGTTGGCAACATGTAGTTACTTGTTTCCACCAAAACTATGACTTTGATAATTTTTAATGTGAAACTAGACATTCTTTTAGTCAATTTCACCAATTGAAGCAGAGTAATATCTATTAATATGTAATGTTGTTTGAGACATATATAATGAATATTAATATAGTCTATCTGATTCAAAATATTTTTTTAAAAGAATAACAACAAAGTCTTAAAAAGACAAATTAATGATAGGTAAATTTTAAAAAAAAATTATAAAATAAACTATAAATATCAATTCAAACTGTTATAATTAAGAATCTATATTACAAACTAATTATTATATTTAAAATTTAAATATTATTTTTACAATTAAAATTTTTAAATTTATAACTATTTAAATCCATACTTTTCAGTAAACTTTTTTAAAAAAATTATGAGAAAGTTAACAGTTATTTTTTATTTTTTTATTTTGTTATATTCAATTGTCAGCAGACGAACGACACTATGATAGACCTACTGCAAAGAAAGTGGAGGCACTTTCTGACACTATAAGAAGGAGAAAACTTCACGCAGATGCCCTAATAAATTATTCTTGCCGCCCCTCTTTTGAAAATAATAATAATAATAATAACAACTTTTGCCCCTCACACAAAAATTTCATTCGTGTCTATTTAACGTTTCAAAATCTCAACCATATCTATTTTTCAGTTGACTCGATCATGTATATTTACGGCATATTTTTTCAACATTTATGAAAATTAAATTCATAGAACTTATATCATAAAATAAAGTTTCTAAACTAAAATTATGGTATATAAAAAATAACAATGATATCATGTTCTTTAATTTGGTAATCTCACGAACCTATTTAATTTTAATATTTTAAATTATAATTATTTATATTTTTTAAAAAATAATAGTAGGTATAGTTTTTCCCCTACAAACTTATTGACTCAGGTCTATCACTGCAATGGACATTATATCATTTAATTATATTGTTGGAGATTTAGGTATAATTCTCATAAAATTTGATAGGAGTCATCACATGTATACATGACTTATACATGAAAAGTTTGATTTTCTACCAACTTTATATAATAACATAATATTGATCTTTAATTAATTATCAACAGCTTTATTAATTTTCAAATCAGCTAAACATAATAATACTCTTGGGTGCGTTCGGTCTAAGGGTTTAGGGGGAGGGGATCTGCTAATTTGGTTAAAAAAATTTAGAAAGGGTAGAAGTTAAACTTTTCCTTCCCCTCCCTTCTTCTATTATTGCTCCCCTCTCAATATTATATTCACACTTTTCTTCACGTTGCCCAATCTCAGCCTAGGGCCTTGCACACGTATTGTAGGGGACGTGAATCTAATCACGTAAGACAAAATTCGTTGACTCCGGTTTTGATGCTCGTCACATGAGCAATTTGGACCACCCACGTTCTTAATTTGAGTGGTCTGAATTTTAAATTTTTTTATATTTTTATTTTATATTTATTATAAAAAAATTATTAAATTTTAGTAAATTTATATTATCATTAATTTAAATAATATATATTTCTGGTTCAATTAATATTAATTTTTTTATAATTTTTATAAATTAACTATTTAAATATTTTTGAACATTTTGAATTTAAAATTTTTAAGTTGTAAAATAAAATAAAATCTTAATAAATATAAAAATAAAATCCTGAAATTTGAATGTTCCAGATTAAAAATTTGGACAATACAAAATGTGCATCACTTAACTCATCAAGCACCGAAACCAAACGCAAATTGCGTGAATTTATTCCTTCAATTACATTTCCGACACAAAAAGAAAAATTATTGACAAAAGAATTTATGCTTCGAATGAGTCCACTTTTTGACTTCAAACTCCTTAATTTTTGCTTGAGATGCATCCTTATCCACCCAAGCAAAGCCCCACACACACACACATTTAAATCCAAAATCGTTTCAATTTCGTTGTACCATATTGGTGGATCAAACTAATAATATTATATTGGTTTCAGAGACATATAGGAGCGGAAATGAATCAAATGATACCGGAGTCGGGCGACATTTTCCACCTTTCAGGGCCTGCCGATCTCAAATCCGTTGACTGGTATGTTTATTAGCTATCTCCAGTAAGTGTCTCCCCACATAAAACCGGAACTAACAGCAATTAACAACAATTTAAAGTATTATATTCGTTAGTTCTCATGCATGCACGAATAACGCAGGAATAACGCAAGCCACAGGAGGTGCGTCCTGGCAAGCGTGGTTCAAGGAGTATACGTGCTTGAAAACGACCGCCGATTGAACCGGGCCGGACCCAAAGCTCAGGCTCTTCCCTGGTGGGAGACCTTCCGCTTTCGTCTCATCGAAACCATCCAAGACAGCTCCGACCATTCTGTGTTCGGAGCCGTCTTCCAGCTCAACTCCAAACCCGGAAACTTCGCCATCAATTCCCCTAAATACCTCATCGCCTTCCGAGGAGTGATGCTCACTTCCCCAACTCTCTCCACAGACATCTCCTTGAGCATCCAGTCCTACTTCGGCATCCTCCACAACAGCCACCGGCTCAACAGTGCCGTCGGCAGAGTTCAACACTGGGTGGCCGTCGCCGGCGGTGCTCATAATGTCTGGCTCGCCGGTCACTCCTTAGGCTCAGCCATAGCCTTGCTCGCGGCCAAGAACATGGCGGCTAGGTTGGGTTGTCATCTCACAGCCTACCTTTTCAACCCTCCCTCCTCTTCTGGTGTGTGTTGGAGAGGATTAACAAGCCGAAACTGAGGACAGGAATTCACATGGTTTCTACTACGGTGAAAGCACTGCTCATTGCTTATTCACAGCGCCACGAGAATCGCAAGGGTGATTATGATGAATTTTCTGCGCTGGCTGATTGGCTGCCTTGTTTGTTCGTGAATCCAAGTGACCATGTTAGTTCGGGTTATATTTGGTATTTTGAGCAGAGGATGAAGATGTACGAGCTGGGTGCTGCAACGGCAACACTGGAGAGGTTGGGTACACAGAATACTATCAAGGGCTTGCTCATGTCTAATAAATGGGATATAGAATCGCAGCCTCAGCATCTGCTTCCTTCTGCTGAGTTGATCATCAATCAGGCTTCGTCAACGAGTTTCACAGAGGCTCATGGGATTAAACAATGGTGGAACCCTCGTCTGCCTCATCACTCTGTGATACACCGTTATAATTAAGCAATAATAACACCTGAGATTCTTTTAGGTGAACTGAGAAAAGAAGTAGAGGAAGGATAGTGACCTCATTCCTGAATTAAGAAGACGTAGTATATAAAAGTAATTAATCAATTGTGTGTGTGTGTGTGTGTGTGTGTAGGATGAAAATGATCCTATTCGTCCAACAATTACAACGACTAGGCAGGGTCAATATATATGAGAAAATGATGCACTTGCAGTTCCTGAAGATGACCTAGAATATAATGAATCATTTAGCAGCAGTACAAATCAAATGGTAATCGTAGTTGTAGAGAAGGATAGAAATGAAAGGTTTAGTCTCTTACTTGAATGGCACCAAAATGCGTAAGGTAGTTGTCTGAGACTGCAATATAATCACTGTTGCTATATATGCTTATTTATAACTTGTATTGTTTATAGTTTATGAACAGTTTGATTCTCTTACTATTTAGTTTTATATCGGTATGATTTGTTCTAAAATCACGCGACCAGAGGTGTGTCATAAAAGCTCGAACGACGAAGCAGAAGGGGAAAAAAATCTTAGATCTATCAAAAACTAAATCTCTAATAATGTGCTATATAGGTTGGTAAAAGGTATAATATCTCCTATATTCTCATCGTTATCATTTAATATATTCTTAAGCCTCTTGATCATGAAACAAGAATATAATTAAATTAATCCGATCCATAAGTCACATGAACTCGAACACATATTCTTTCCCCCCACCATTTCCCCGGTCGTTGACTATATTCTATTTCCTCCAGTACTTCAATTATTAACTTATACTAGAACCACAATGCATAGAAATTTGACAGGAATTATACCGTGTTAATTTTATTTATTTTTTGTAAAATATAATGATTGATTAATGATTATTAGCGCGGAAATTCCATTACAAAATTATTCTATATATCATCTTGAAGAATCCAGCGGGTGACATGACAGATTCGCAGCACTGTTTCTCAAGTTATTCAACAAGGCCCAGCCCAACCCATCGTACCTAACACAATTTTTCTTGTATTTTCATGTATTTCATGGAATCTTAGGATATCGGTTACATATATTATTTTTAATATATGGATATACAGTATAACTTGATATTATTTTACAGTCCTCCATGTCTTTTTATAAGGGTTTTTTTAATTAATTTGTTGAAATTAAGAAAATCAATTAAAAGTAGTTACGCTATAATTTTTCCAAAATTAACCTCAACCAAGTTGATGTGAGGTAGACGACTAGTGGCAAAGAAAAAAAAATATTTTTGAAAAA